GAGCACTTAGAGTATGGCATATGACAGAGATACACTCATCTGTGTAGAAGAAAGAAGCATGAGATAATCAGTGAACAGCCAGCATACCCAGCATGCTCTGGGTAGCGCCTTTGTTCCTGCACCACAAATTGTATTGTGTATAGGAGCGTGAAGGAACTTTTACCAATCTTACTAAATTAAAAGATTAAGAACACAATAAAATGAATACATTGACAATTTCAATGACAAAAATGATATGTGAAAGTATATACAATAATGAATGTGTCACCTTTTAGTCTCTGCTCCACATATTCCAGAATGATCCGTACCAGCTGTGCAACAGACAGAATCAGAGCTCCAAATGCCAGAGAGCCGGTGTGATACCTAAAGATTCAACGCATTGTTACACTGTTATGTATGACTATCTGGAGAATGATTAAACAGTTTGACAGACGCTGAATCAGCGTGTTCTGGGTCCTGACCTGAGGGCCCTGCTGAACGAGGAGAAGAGGGGACACGGGGGGATGTCCTGAGGCTTCCTCCTGGCCCAGTAGTAGCTGGCGAAGGTCCCGGCCAGCGTGCACTGCTCCAGAGCCAGGCTGAAGTTGATGAGCCAGAGGCAGAGCAGCAGGTTGGACAGCTGCAGCAGGAAGAGGTGTCGGTGGTAGGACGTCTCCCCCCCGTAGAAGGCGAACAGACACTGAGAGCCCTGACATGAGGCTGACGTGGAGACGTTGCTCCTGTTGAAGCTCTGACAGAGGACAGAAGCATTTACTGGCTTTATGTAGCTCTAGGCAGTATGAATTTCTTTCATAAAAAGGACCTTATTTCGCTTTTTTATACAGGTTTTTGTGCATGTAAATGGTCTGTAAGGCTAAAATCCCAAAGTTCCAAAATTCCTCCAGAGGGAGTTTCTCTCCCACACACTCCTCACTGCCTGAAATGCTGGTATCTGGTATAAAAGTCTCAAATCTTTTACAGATCATTGAGGTAAACAGCTTGTAGTCCATATTTAAAAGAGAAATTGGCCTATCATTTGTACAGTGGTCTTTGTCTTTGCCTTCCTTAGGCAAAATGGAAATAATTGCTTCCCTCCAAGATGGGGGAGCCCTGCCTTCTTTAAGAGTCCAATTAAAACAAGACAGAAGCAGAGGTGTTAGCTCCTTCGTGAACGTTTTATAGAGCTCTGGTGGGAACCCATCGCTGCCCGGTGATTTACTAGTCTTTAGCCTACTGATTGCAGCTTCCAGCTCTTCAACTGTAAATTGCGACGTAATGGTGTCATTCTGTATCTCACCTATAGATGGCAGATCAAGCGAGTTAAGAAAGTTTCTTATTGTGCTTTCATCAGCTAATGGTGGATTAGAGTAGAGTGTCTTATAGTACTCTTCAAATATTCTTTCTATCTCATCTGGCTCATACAGTAGTTGATTAGTTTGGGGATCCCTTGTTCTATGAATTGTATTAGAGGCTTGCTGTTTGCGCAGGCGTCTGGCCAGGAGTCTAGCTGCTTTTGAGCCTGATTCATAATAAGACTGCTTTAAAAACCTTGCCTTTTTTATTTCTCCTCTGAGGATCTAATTGATCTCCCCCCTTGTTTCCTTAATTTGTTGTAATGCCGATTGATCCCCTGTACTCTTATGTTTTGTCTCCATTTCTCTAAATGTTTCTATTTTGTATTTGTATGTGACTAGCCGGGCCTTTTTTTGTGATGCTGTTAGGGCGATCAGCTTTCCACGGAGAACAGCCTTCAAAGCATCCCACAGTATCCCAGGGTCCACATCCCCATTATCATTCTCCTCTATATATATTTTTATCTCTTCCCTTAACTGTTCCACGGTCGCCTTATCATTCAAAACACCCACATTGAGCCTCCACACTGTATTCTTTTCTCTACTATTCAGATTTATTGACAAGCTAATCATATTATGATCCGAAACATCTGCCACCCCGATTTTACTCTCTGTGATCCTGTGACTTTCACCCGTATTTATTAAAAAGTAGTCAATTCTGGAGTACACAGAGTGAGGTACTGAATAGTGTGTATAATCCCGTTCTAGGGGGTGAAGTTCCCTCCAAATATCAATTAGTCCCCTTTCCTGCACTGACGCATTAACAAACTTGGTCAGGTGCTTCTTGCTATTTTTGTGGCTTGTAGTGTCTATGGTATGATTCAGGACCACATTAAAATCCCCTCCATGTATCAAAATACCCTCAGTCTCTAATGCAATGACGTCAAACAGATTTAAAAAAATAAATGTGTTACTCTCTGGGGGGGCATATACATTGACCACTGCGTTTTCAAGTTTTCCTTTCACTAATACATATCGTCCCTCTTTGTCCCTGACTTCTTTATGGAGTTCAAATTGAACTGCATTTGAAATAAGGATAGCCACTCCCCTCTTCTGGCTAGGTTTGTAAGAACTATAGAATGTATTTTTAAAACCAAAGCGTTTACATTTGTCATGCTCCTGTTGAGGCAGATGAGTTTCTTGTAAAAATAGTACTTGAGCCTTTTCTTTTTTCAATTTAGCCAGGACCTTGCTCCTTTTAACTGGATTATTCATCCCATTTACATTAAGTGACACTCATTTTATATTATTGTACAGCATTTAAATTACCCAATCCTTTGCATTCACAAAACTCCAGACAACTGAAAACTACACAGACCTGAACATCTGGCCTACATGTAGTGAACGTAGAACGTAAAAATAAAAACGCAGACTTCCAAGGTAGGGTGATTCTTCGCCACCCTCACCCCTCGATTCCACCGGGTCCGTCTGCGTCTCGTTACGGCTGCGCCGCGGCCTCCTCCGGCGCCATACCCTACCGGGCGCGTTTCAGAAGCATTTCAGAAGCGGAGCGTCTTGCCTGCCGGCTCGCAGTTTTTGTTGATTTGGGCATATTTCCTGGACAGGCTACTTTGTACAGACAAAGTTAATAATAACTGTAATATCCCAGTTATAAACGACATGAATCAAAGATGTGTTGCTGTATTTTAGTGGTAAAAAAATGCATTCATCATCATAATTATTCTATATATATAATTTACACAGTGCCTGTAAACCGGAGGAGAACGCTGGCATTTCTCCTCCTACTTGAAAGACTACGGAGGGATAGGGTCTGCAAAATTAGTTTATTTGGGGGATGGGCCGGATGCTGTCACCGGTCCACTTCCTGCCCAGCGCCTCTGCAACGCCTCGCGTCACGTCGAAAAATAGACTTGAATCCTATTTTGAGCGGAGCCCAGCGCCGAGACGCTTCTGGGACGCTTCTGAGCCGTAACGCGGCGCGTCTGGTGGAATAGCACCCATTGACTAGAGTGGCCGCGATCTTTGCGAACGCCGCGGCGCAGCCGTAACGCTCCTGCGCAGCCGTAACGCTCCTGCGCTGCATCTTGTGCACTGTCGTATGTGCATGTTCCCGAGTCCCAGTGAATGTGAATCCTGTCGAGAGGTGTCTGGAAACGTATATTTTTCTCCTTAAGGACCCTCTTTATTCCCACGTACGCCTTGCGCTTCAGGACGACCTCCGTTGCATAGTCGTGATCGAACGATAGACGTCGCCCTTCCATCAGTATCTTCTTTTCCCGGGCCTTTTTCAGTACCATTTCTTTGGTGGTAAACTCCAGAAAGTTCACCACTATGGACCTTGGCGGTGCATTCCTTTCCGGTTTGCGAGCCACAGCTCTTTGAGCGTGTTGTATCTGTAGGTTGGTCTCCGGTAAAGCGAGTTCAGTTTTCAAAAGTTGATCCATAAAGTCAGACATGGAGTTACCTTCCTTCTCTTCGGGTATTCCATAAATGCGCATATTATTTCTCCTGGATCGACCTTCCAAATCCACCAGTTTCCCCTGCATGGCTCTCTGTTCTTTCAACGCATCTTTACATCCATGTTTACTGTCTCCGCCTCATCGATTCGTTCCTCCGCTTCTTTCAGCCTAGTTTCGTGGGCCCGGGTTATCGCGCAGTTCGCAGAAAGTTTTTGGTACATTTCCTGCTTCATATCTTCGAGTTCAGATTTCATGTCTCCCTTGATTTCTTCTTTAAGTTTGTTTAAGTCCACTTTATGCTCAGCCCTGAAATTGCGTATTTCCTGGAGCACTGAGCGCATGGTGTCTGCCGAGTCCTGTTGTGAGCTAACGGAGCGTCTTCCATCTCCGGTGAATTCTGTCTTTCTAGTTTGTCACCTTTCTTTTGACCTCTAGTTCTCTTTCCCCCTCTCATTCCAATACAATCGATTTGTATATTAATTGGCGAGTTAAGGGGGTTGGTTTCCAATCGCTATCGGGAGCAACAAATTAAGCAGCCATCTCACTCGCCTTGCTCACCGGAAGTCCTCGCTGCACTATTTCTTAATGCTCTTAATGTTTTTCATTTTTGCAAAGCACTTCGAATTGCCTTGTGTTGAAAGATGATTTATAAATCAACTTGCCTTGCCTTACTACTATTATTACTACTAGAACTACTACTACTACTACTACAGTTATACTACTGCATGAGTCACTGTACCTCAGGTTGACAGGTGCTGTTGGCATACTGACAGCTGACATCAGGTGACATGACTCTGTAGACTGCTTCACCTGAGGAGGCCAGGTAACTGTTCACAGTGAAAGTTAAAGACACATGCAACACACTGCTGAAAGCCTCTGGGTACTGAACACTTTCATTTCTAAATGTGTGTGAGGAAGGATACACTGCAGTGACGGCCCAGTATGAGATGCAGAGAGTCAGAAGGAGGAAGGTGACCACTGGAAAGAAGAGCGTGGACATGATGTGACCGATGGCTCTGCAACAACACAAAACAACCGTCATCATACACTTGTGTGTTTAATCACATAGTTAGATCTGTGTGTCTCATGGTTCATACTTGCTGGCCTCTCTGAGCAGGGCGATGGCCACTTGCACTCTTCTCCGTAGGAAGATCAACATCAACAGGATGCACGCTTCTGTCACTGCCAGAGACACCACTGACACACACACACACACACACACACACACACACACACACACACACACACACACACACACACACACACACACACACACACACACACACACACACACACACACACACACACACACACACACAATATTTTAAAGTGTAAAGGTCAACGTTACTGTGAGTCATATTATTCAGAACAACTTAGTATTGATAAATTAATAGTTGAAAATAATAGACTTTTGTAACATTTTATTTGTGTTCATGGGAAGAAATTGTACATTGGAGTTAGAGTTTAGAGATGTTGTTTATTGTCTGTGTCGGTGTTAATTAGTTTCAGATGATTGCCAATAGATGCCAGTATTGCTACATGAACAGTGCGTTTGTAATGAGAGCGTGACATGAAATCTTGCGAGAGCACCTCAGCAAGAGAGAATCTGTGTGTACTGAAGTTCAGGTAGTTAGCGCCGTTTGGTGAATGTGGACCTGAATGTTACTTTCAGATGTTTTCAGAAAAAACTTAAAATGAACAGTGTAGCACCACAGTGAGCCTGTGTGACATTCTGTGCACACTGCATTACTTTAGTGTTCCATTGGAGTCAATTGTGACTTCCTGTGAAGTGTCACAAAGCAGACAGACTTACATAATAGGATCCATGTCTGAGAGAGCTGCAGGTAGACCTGCAGGTCAGTCTGCATGCCCACTGCTACTATGGCAACATCAGAGCCGGGTGTGTTTCTCAGCCTGGACAACTGCATGGAGCAGTACCACATACCTGCAAACACACACACACACACACACACAATGAGCTGTGGAAACAGATTATAGTGATAGGATTCCGGTATAAATCCCTTGAACAGACAGTGAGTACACACCGCAGGCCAGCAGCAGTAAGAAGGTGAGGATGGTGGTCCACAGCAGCAGGCCCGCTGTGAACCTCAGCAGCAGGATGAAGATCAGACTCACAGCCAGGGATAAGAGCAGACCTCTGTTCCACAGCACACAAACAACGGCATGTTAACACACTTGTTTTGCCTTTTAAAAACTAAATGATTTCAGGTTTGTCACAGTGTTTCAAAATACATCCATTTACATTAAAGGTCTCCTATTATACTATTTTTAGGCATATATTATAGGTCTCAGATATATACAAATATATAAAAAACATGTCTATGATGTGTTCTGCTCAATATACCATACCTGATCAGAATTCTACCCAGATACTCAGCTAAATGCTGCCGTGATGAAACTCCATATCATGTTCCAAACCACATTAAGCATGATTTCTGAAACAGTATGGAGCTCAAATGCTTTTTCTCTTGCAGGTTTACCACAAGGTGAGTACCTTTTTATATCCTGATCTTTTACACATATTCTCTCCAGTACAGCATTAGCTCTGAGTGTTAGCATGCTAATGTAAACAAAGACCATATTACTTCCACAACACGTTGTCCATTGTTTCTGATACAGTGACGTTTCTGATAGTGCCGTGGGTGTAAAGCCCGTCCACATTTCCGAAATTACGTCATATCGGCAGTAAATCTGGATCAGCTCCGTTGTTCCCCCGTTTTAAGAGATGTGGGTACGGAGGAAAATAGAGAGGGTTTTATTTCTGACACTTTGTGAGTTCCCTGGCACACCGGGGACACATAGTGATGTATAAAAGACATAAAAAAGTGCATTATGCATGATAGGTCCCCTTTAAAACAAGCCTTAAAGGTGGGGTAGGTAAGTTTGAGAAACCGGCTCGAGATCACTAGAATTTGAAAATACACAACCGGAGAAAATCTGCCACTTCCTTATAGAGCCCCTCCTTCAACACACACGAACGCACACATGACCAATGAGGGCAGAGATAAGTCTGTGCACAGATGGAAGGCTGACAGGCAGGTAGGCCATCCAGTTATTTTAGCCGGGCCGGCTAAAATGATTGGTCGTGCTTTTACAGTATTACGGCTTCCACAGATGAAATTTCTTTATGGATTTTTTGTCAAAAGCACTTAAGATATTCATTGCTATCGGGATGTTAAGAGCATTCCCTGGAATATAACAAAAAGTGTATCTCGAGCCGGTTTCTCAAACTTACCTACCCTACCTTTAACTACCCACAGCTTGGAGGAATACACTGTTATAAATATCTTTGAGATGTGTTTGCCTGTGGTGTGTAATTTAGTGGGAATGCTGATACAGCATTCCAACTATACGTTATGCTACGGACAAAATTCTTATTATTATTCCGCCCACTTATTTTGGCCCTCTTCTCCTCCCACATTCAACATCGCAGAAACTCCGTTCAAACATCAAAACGTTCAGCTCGGTCGGGAATCGCAGGCTATTACTTTTATCATTCATAACTTTCATAATTCCAGAGATACATCCCATAATACATCACATTTTTAACCATTGAAGTCAATGGAGACATTCTTCAGACTTCAACAAATCTTCATGCGACTTCAACTGCTAACTGTTCATTCATACTTTCACTCAGAAACCTCATTCCAACTTTAAAATGTGACACATCTTTCTGACATTATTCGTGTAACACAACTTTTAAATCTGATTCTTACTTTTAGAGATATTAAACATTGTTCAGACCTTGTTAAAGAGGTTTTCTTCACAGCAGCAGCCGCACACCTTTAGTTAAACTGCCAAAAAGGCCACATTATTAACCCGAAAGTACACAAAAATTACACTTCAGATACTCAACTTCCTTGACATGCTTCACGTTTTGAAATTTCACAGATATCTGTTATTGTTCTTCCACAAAACGTTCACATGTAAGAGGTTTATCTGTCATTCAGAACAATGCAAACCTTTGATCTCTTCATAGCTCGTTAGCTCAACTATAAACACCTGTGTAATGGAACACGATGATGTCATCACTCCAACTGACAGCAGTCAGTTCTAACTGTTCATTTCATTCTCTCTCTCTCTAAATAAAACACGATGTCCCTTTAACTCCTATGAAAATGTTCAAAAAGTGCTCAAAATTCACATGTGTGCTAACAGTCCAGCCATCTACGAGACAGTTTTGAGATTTCTTCAAATGCCGTTGCCATGGCAACACAATACTCGCCATGAAACACGGTTTTCTCATAACTTCAGTGAAACGCATCTAACCGTATTATGGGGTGTCATCAAATGCCGTTGCCATGGCGACAGACCACTCGCCATGAAGCACAATGTCGCTGTAAGTCCAATGGACACGGTCCGATCGCCCTTCAAACTTCGCTTGTATATCACCGGTCCAGCCCTCAACAGCTCTACGTCAATTATGGGGTTTCTTCAAATGCCGTTGCCATGGTAACACAAGGCTCGCCATGAAACACGGTTTTCTCATAACTTCAGTGAAAATGCTCCAAACGGCCCAAAACTTCACAGGTTTGGTAACGATGCAGCCATCCACACATCTAAGCGTATTATGGGATGTCATCAAATGCCGTTGGCATGGCGACAGATGATTCACCATCAAGTTAGTTCAAAAGTTTGCAGTTCAAATATTCTGCTGCTTTTCCAAGCCTTTTTACTTTCTTTTCTTCTCTCATCACACATTCAAGCCCCCAGTGTTCATGTATCATTTCAATCAAAATTCTTCACTTTCTTCTTACACATTACATTTCAGCATAGCAGTTTAGCGTCAGATTTTCAGCATAAACAGGGTTCTTACACCTTTTCCAAAGTCAAATTCAAGCACTTTTCAAGCATTTTCAAGGTGCATTTTCAAGCTTTTCAAGCATCTTACAGCTGTTGTAAATTACATATTTATATACACATACTTATACTCAAATGATTATTTCCCTACCTCACATTAAATCAGATGTTCTTTATGCTATAAACAACCAAATGTGTGTTTCATAATAGCATTCTACATGAGGATGAAAAATTAAAAATGTTAGAAAAGAAAACTAAGTTTAATATTTCAAAATGAGTGACCCATCTGTACGTAGACTGAGCATCCCATATAACCTGGCTGAGCCAATATAAAACAATCAGCCAAATAACTTTTCAATATATTATTGATTACTATTTTTGAGGTACTTTTAGGTTAGCAGTAAACACAAGTCAGAGGTAAATGGTGTACTTTGACTCCACTACATGTATTTAATACCTTTAGTTACTTTACAGATGTGGATGAATGATGTGAAATATAATCAAGTGTTAAATCAGACTTTAGTTCCACCTGGAGTAAATTCACAAGCTACTCTGTAGTATACAAAGTCATTCAAACTAGCTGCAACTTTACCAGCTTTGATAACACTTTCATGATCAATCATTATAAAACATATCATATACAATTATTAGGGATGCTCCGATCGCCAATTTTGGAGCCGATCGCCGGAATCAGTATCGGCCGATACCGATATCGCTCTCTTTTCCTCTCTTCCCCCTCTCTCTCTCTCCTGACAGCCCGTCAGTATCTCCTGCAGCTCACTGATCCAGTAATGAGCGACCCGACAGTGAAGAATAAATATATTTATAACTAGTTTAGCTTGTTCCAGAGGTAGATAAAATAGCTAAGTGTGTTAGGTCTAACTCTTAATGTGTGTTCTGCTCCGCTCACCGGTCCGTCACAGCGGGTGGAGCTGCAGGATTTCTGCTTCACACACACACGTTGCATACCGCTATTTTATTGTCATTTTCGGACACTTAAAATACTGCCAGACTAGTGAAGCCATTTTGGCGAGCTTGTTTTGCCGCGCACAGAGAAAAGTGTCATGTATTTTACATGCAACGATAGCCTAATCTAAAATGCTCTACTATGGCGTACCTTTCGTGTGGTGTGTGGCTCGTCAGCACAGACTCTCGCATCGTTATTGTTGCACACTTTGCAGGAGGCTACTCTTGGGCTTCGCTTGACCCTCGTCTTAGCCATGGCTTGTATTTGTCTTCTGCTAGCCAACGCTCGTTGAAACGGCAACCTCCTGGCATACTGTCATCTATCACTCTCATCAGAATGCCCAGGTCACACACGTAACAAATACACTTGCCGGTCACGCGCATTGCGCGGGAAGGCCGGAGCGGAGCTGTTTTATGTAAAAGCGAAGCAATTAAGTGCGCTCCGACTTCTTTATTTTCTTTTAATCTAAAAAGCGAAGTAAAGCATTTACAATTTCAAGCACTTTATCCCAAATTCAAGCACCATTCCCAAAATTCAAGCACTTTTCAAACCTTGAAAACACCTCGTACAATTTCAAGCATTTTCAAGGATTTCCAGGAACCGTACGCACCCTGATAAAGCATTCCCACTAGCAATTTCTTCAGGAATTGCATTCTCTAGTTACATGATGTGTTTGCCCTACCATTGTCTTGGAGGGGCCCCGCCAACGGAGCCCCGCCAACGGAGCCCCGCGCCCCCCCCCTGAAATTCAAGGTGTTTAAAAAAAAAAAAAAAATTATATATTTTTTTTAATATTTATAAAAAAAAAATATATATATATATATATATATATATAGCACCAAATTGCAACTAATCTATATCTACTGTCATTTTTCACATTGAATATGTGCTCTTTTATTAAATAAACTAAACGCTTTAATTTTAAGTTGTGAGTTTAGTGTTAATGACCCTAAGAAACACTGATGCATTAATCAATAACAATAATCCACAGCTCCTCTCTCTGCTCCAGAGGATTTAAAAAAAATATATCCCAATGCCACCCCACCCAGGCAGCACCCCCCCAAAGCAGTAAACCTAGAGGAAACACTGACATGATTATCCATGCCCATGTCTTGGCATAATCTTCCACTATCTTCATCCCCAGCTCCTTGGTGTCCACCAGTCCTGTTATACCCCTGCTCAAAGGAGAGGAGGAGTGATTAGAGTAGAAGGGGACAGAGAGACTTTATCTTTACATACATATCCAACATTTCCAGGTCACTATGACTTATTTGTTTGGTTACTTGTACAATGGAAATTATAATATATATTTTGTATTTGTGTGTGGGAGAGAATCTCTCTCTGTAGTAAATCAGGAGTTTTCTGTGTTGGAGATAGAGTGTTGGGTGCTGTCAGTCCATACTGTAAGTGATGTTGAGTGATCTTTGACTATCAGAGAAATGTGAAGTAGATGTAGTATAGTGTATAGATAATAGTGGAGGGTTCAGTACTTGGCTGCATGTTGGAGTTCAGTGACACTGTGGGCCGTTTCCAGAGCGTCTTTAAAGCTGGTCCTGTTAGCCACAGTCACCGTCCCATTCAAAGAGGTGAAGTCAGGGAGACATCTCTGGAGAACTGACACACACACACACACACACACACACACACACACACACACACACACACACACACACACACACACACACACACACACACACACACACACACACACACACACACACACACACACACACACACACACAAACACAGCATTGCAATCTAATTCCCTCCCAAACAACATTTACATCATGCAACGTATGATGTAAATAAAAGTCAAAAGTTTGGACACACGTTCAAATTTCAAAATTTCAAAATCCAGAATATGATTTTTATTTTAGATTCTTCAAAGTAGCCCCTTTTGCCTTGATGACAGCTTTGCACACTCTTGGCTTCTCTCAGTCAGCTTCATGAGGTCGCCTGGAATGGTTTTCAATGAACACGTGTGCCTTGTCAAGAGTCCATTTGTGGAATGACTTGCCTTCTGAATGTGTTTGAGAGCATCAGTTGTGTTAGAGGTAGGGTTAGTGCACAGTGGAAAGCCCTATTTGACTACTGTTGTAATCCATATTATGGCAAGAACCACTCAACTCAGTGAAGAGAAGCGACCGTCTATCATCACTTTAAGAACTGAAGGCCAGTCGATCCGGAACATTTCAAGAACTTTGAATGTATCTTCAAGTGCAGTCGCAAAAACCATTGAACGCTATGATGAAACTGGCTCTCATGAGGACCCCCCCCCCGGGAAAGGAAGACCAAGAGACACCTCTGCTGCAGAGGATAAATACATCAGAGTTACCAGCCTCAGAAAGCACAAATGAAAGCACCTCAGATTAGAGCCCACATAAATGATCACAGAGCTCAAGCAGCAGACAATCTCAACATCCACTGTTCAGAGGAGACTGCGTGAATCAGGCCTTCATGGTCCAATCGCTGCAAAGATCCACTACTGAGGATGAACAACAAGAAGAAGAGAATAGTTTGGGCCGAGAAACACAAGGATTGGACATTAGACAGTGGAGATCTGTACTTTGGTCTGATGAGTCCACATTTGAGATTTTTGGTTCCAACCTCTGTGTCTTTGTGAGACGCAGAGAAGGTGAGCAGATGGTTTCTGCATGTGTGGTTCCCCCCGTGAAGCAAGGAGGAGGAAGTGTGATGGGGGGGGGGGCTTTGCTGGTGACACTGTTGGTGATTTATTCAGAATTCAAGGCTCACTTAACCAGCATGGCTACCACAGCATTCTGCAGTAGCAGCAAAATATAAATCATATTCTACATTTTTAACACTTTTTTGTTTACTAGATCATTCCATGTTCCTTTATAGTTTTGATGTCTCTATTATAAATCTACAATGTAGAACAAATTTAAATAAACAAAAAACTTCGAATTTGAAGGTGTGTCCAAACTTTTGACTGGTACTGTATGATGGAGCTGACAAAGGTATTTTTTAAAAGAAAACATCTAAATCTGTCCATTTAGACCAGGGGTCGGCAACCTTTTTGATATGAAGTGCCATTTAAAAAATAAAACCTGATTAGTGTGTGCCGACGTTCGTGAACTGTAAACGGGGGGGGGGGAGCTCGACGCTCGTGAACTGTCAACTGGAGGGCGGGGAAGCTGTGGACCTCTGTCGCCTGTCAGCGCAACTTACATGATGCCGTTTAAACACATTTAAATAAATAAAGGGCGGTGCCGGCCGTCAGCGAACCGAGCCGGTCGTCAACGGCCCGCTGGCGACCGGCTCGGTTCGCTGACGACCGGACGTACTGTGATTCTCCAGAACACACAGTTGGCCAGTCCCCTGTGTAGCATATTATTTTGGATGACAGATGAGCAGATCGCCACTGGGCTTTCAACTAAAGACACAGCCACGCAAAAACTGCGGCATGTACAGCTCCTTATACTGCAATGAGTGAAGTGCGCTACACCCCTGACCGTTTCACCATGGAGGAAAGCAGCAGAAAGTCAACTGGAGTTAAAAAGAGCGGGGCATAGAAGTTATCCTTCTGCGCTGTGTTGCGTGCATGGCTTCCTTCTGCAGGGGGAGACGCGCTCTGCCGGCGGTCTCGTTCAGGATCCGAAAATACAATTTAAATATTTTTGCACACTTATTCCTAGTGTGCCACTGGTTACGGTCCCGCGTGCCAATGGTGGCACGCGGGCCAGGGGTTGCCGACCCCTGATTTAGACTTATGACCTAGTTTAATATAAACAGATGAAATGTTCAGTAGGTATTTCTTTCTTACATGGTCTACTAGGAACGAGCATGGAGGGGCAGTCCTCGTCTCGCAGCACCTGAGAGACCGGCTGTAGGACACAGAGAGACAGTTCTGATGCTTTGTGCTACAAACAAAGAAAAACGTCCAAAATAATGTTTTGTCGGTTTGAACCGATTTCCAGCCGAATTCTTACTGTCTCCCCTTATCTCTTTTTATAGTTTTGTCCTACCGTATGGGGGCTTGTATTCAGATTGCGCAGAAACATGCCTGAGACAGAACCCCCCCCCTCCCCGAGTCTCCCTCTGTCTGGTCTTCACTTCATCCTCCAGACCAGCATGAACGACAACATCCCTCATCCTTCCTCAGCCCTTCCCTTTATGCTTAACATCCAATACCTCCTGAAATTAAACCTTTAGACGACATGTGGCTTAGTCCCTTCTAGCTAGGGTGTATGTAACGAATAAACGTGTGTACCTTGTAAGGGTTATTAAAGCCAGGCTTACAGAAGTCTCTGTAATATTCCCAGTAGCTCTTGCTGAGTGTGTGTTGCATCTGCATCTCAGTGTATGTGGCAAACCTGTCAGGGCACTTTGACACACACATCTGGAAGAAAAAGAAACAAACAGTACGATTTGATTAACATCTGTTATAGACATTTGGACCACATGCATTCAGGGACAACTTGTCTCACTTAAAGGTAGGGTAGGCAAGTTTGAGAAACCGGCTCGAGATCGCTAGAATTTGAAAATACACAGCCGGAGAAAATCTGCCACTTCCTTATAGAGCCCCTCCTCCAACACACACGAACGCGCACATGAAGTTTGTGCACAGATGGAAGGCTGACAGGCAGGTAGGCCATCCAGTTACTTTAGCCGGGCCGGCTAAAATGATTGGTCGTGCTTTTTACAGTACTACAGCTTCCACAGATTACATTTTTTTATGGATTTTTTGTCAAAGCACTTAAGATATTCATTGCTATCGGGATGTTAAGAGCATTCCATGGAATATAACAACAAGTGTATCTCGAGCCGGTTTCTCAAACTTACCTACCCTACCTTTAAGCATTAGGCAATTTGTGGCCCTTTCTGCTAACGTGCAGTGAGACACATTCAGCATATCCTTGTCATGATCAATCTGCAGATAAGCATCCGGAGTTGTGAATGTGTACCTGAGTTGTGGGGCACTGCAGGTTGATGAGTAGAGATGGGTTGGCACATTTCAAGATGTTGAAGTAGAAAAGGATGGGTTTCTTCCTGCAATACAGTGTTCATGTTTACAATATATTGGAATCTCAGAATCAAAATTCTAGATGGTTTGTTACTCCGGGCTGTCTAAAGCTACTTTTATGTGTTCAGACATTTCTTTGAGAAGTGATTTCTCGCCGTCACATTCAAATTTTACAAATCATATAACTCTTTTGTTTTGATTACATGCACACAAGATGACTAAGGTATTAAGTTAGGTAGTTTGGTGGTTATGTAGTGAGGTAATGAGTTAGTCAATACATCTGTTTGAATGTTCACCTCTCCTGATGAGCAGGTGGCACATGGTTACGTGATGGGTGAACACTGACTTGTGTTACTAAAGGGCTTTGAGAGGTTGAGAGACTAGAAAAGCTATATAAATACAATATAGTTATTTTGTGAGTTAGTTGAGTAGGTAGGTAAGTAGTTAGTTAAGCAGTAGGGATGGAACACACTTACT